AAAGCCATCTTCATGCCCTTTTCCAGTCCTCACCCCTCCCTCCTCAGCAGAGGTAAACTGCCACCTAGACTTTAACATGCCTGACTTTGAACTTTATGTTAATGAAATAATAAATACTCTTTTGTATCTGTGTATGGACTCATTGCTTGTGAGGTTTACCCATGCTGCAGCTACATAATTTGTTCATTCTAATTGCGCTATTGAATTCTACTATTAAAGGATACCACACTTTACACACCCCTTCTACATTTGATGGATATTTGCATTTTATTAGTTTTTTCTACTATGAGTATTACTATTAAAATATTTTTGTGCATGCCTTTCAGTGTATTTAAATGTGTATCTCTATTAGGCTTATACCTAGTATTCTTGCTTGGTCATGGAACACATGTATATCTATTTTTATTAAAAACACTAGTAAACAGTTTTCCATAGTGCTTATACCAATTTGTGCTCATGCCTGCAATGAATGAAGGCTATACCGCTCCATATCCTTTAAAAGCATCACATTGACAGTGCTTTTGATATTAGCCATTCTGATGGTATTTGTCGTCTCTAGATTTGGCTTTACTTTCTCTGATATCACCAGATTGATATATTTATTGGTCTTTTGGATATTTCCTTTTTGTGAAGTGCCTATTAGCATTTTCACCTGTTTTTAGTTGGGTGGACTTGTTATTGATGTGAGGAGTTGTTCATACAGTGTGGATAAAAGGCTTTTGCAGGACAGAACAACTATGAACAGCTTTTCTTATTCTTCTTTGTTTTTACTCTTATTCATCCATTCTAATGAAAAATACAAAGTTTCAGATTTTAATATACCCTCATGTATCAGCCTTATTCTTTATAGTTAGTAGTTCTTAAGTCTTGTTTTAAAACATTTTTCTCACGTCAAGGTCATAAAGATACACTATGCTGACTATCATAAGCATTTTGGCTTGCCTTTTTGAAGATCTATAATCCACTTGGAATTGATTTGATATAAAATAAGGGTTAAGATTAGTTTTATTCTCCATAGGTATCTTCAAGAGACCATGTACCTTGCCATGACAAGGCCACTCTTCTGTACTGCTGTATCATATATTTTGAGATTATATTATTAAATCTATGCATCTTTGGAATTACTTTACCATTGTGTGGTGAACATTTGGGTATTGAAGTTGATATTACAAAAACTTTTCCAGCCTTCTCAAGTTTCTTTGAGCATATTTTTCCTTTTCTCTTTAACCTACTTCACTATTAGCATTTATAAGTAGTAATTTTTTGTTGTTGTTGCTGCTGTTATTGTTACCAATATCGAGAGGATTTGAGTCTTATGGATTGAGCATAATACTCTTAACTCTGGTTCACTTAAACTTGATAGTGAATATCGTGAGCTGGAATTACATCTGCTGCCTTATATTGAACGTTTTTCTCCTCTTCACTTATTTTTGGGTGATGAAAGTTTTGAGACTGGGTATGTTATCCAATGACACTCCTGCCTCAGTCTCCCAAGTATCTAGGACTATGAGCATACCACCAGCCCAGGCTTGATGAAGTTTTTTTTTAATCCTCTATTTCTCTTACACATAATTTTGGAACTTAAACATAATTTCTAATATTTTAGTCTTGGTATAAATTTTTACATGCAAACTCAAAGTCTAAAGTGAACCAATTTCTCTATTATTTTTCTAACCAATTCAAGAACTTAGAATACTAAATCAAAACATCTTGTAGTATAATTTTATTGCTGTTAATATGTCTTTAATTTTCTGTAAAATTAAGCATGATTATTATAAACTGATTATTAAGGCTTATGCATACTCTATTTGTTCACCAATGTTTCTTGTACTTAGGCCTTCTTTTTGAGAAGTTTTTTTAACTAAGCTCTATTGATCATAAACTAAGAGTGTTCCTGTTCTACAAGTGTCTTTATTTCACAGTCATTCACAAATAATAATTATGTATATGCTATTATACTTTGAGACTGATTTTCTCTCTAAAACTTGAAAATATTTTTCTATTGTCTTCTTGTTTCTGTTTTGCTATTTAAAACCTAGCTGCTCAACTTATATCATTCTTTTGTTGAAAAATTGCCTTTTCTATACACAGATATTCTCTGTGTCTTTGGAATATACTATTCTACCAATATTTCTAGATGTGTCTGTCTTGATTTGTGCAATTTGAATTTGCATTCAAATTTTGCAATTTGGATATTGCAAGTAGCCCTCCAAGAGACTCTATATTTTACCATATGATTTGCTTTGGATACTAAAACATTAGCAAATATGATCAAGTAAACAGATCCTTGAAAAGCACAGATACACTGAGGCTTGTTTCTTCTTATACTTTGAATCTCAAGACTGCCATGTGAATAAGTCTGAGGTAGGCCACTGCAGAATGAGAGACCAGCTAGAAGAGAACTGAGGAACACCAGCCAGCCTGCTGCTAGAGGTGTCACAAGACAGTAAGTCTCCTGCTGATGTGCCAGATGAACACAGATGCTTGAGAGAGCCCAGCAGGTAAAGCTTAGGCAGGCCAAACCAGAGAAATCAGATTTGGAAGCTAAGCAAAATGCCTGTTCTTTTTACCTCTAAGTTTTCTAAGTGACTTGCTCAGCAGCAATAGTAACATACACCTTGTATGTTACTTCCTACAATGAGAATGGATGTCTTTTAACAATTTTAGAAAGTTCTTAAGGATTATACTTCCAATAGTGCCTGTAACGTCTTTCTTCACATATGAATAAAAGAAAAAAAAACTTCTTTCTTGATGTTATCTTCTGGAATTTTCAAATTTGTTTTCATATATGAATATATTATACATGTGATATGTTGCAGACACAAATATATATCCAACATGAATATATAGGCACATATTTATATACACCTGTGCATGAACATATGAAATAGATTTATGAAAAACTTTATATACAATTTATCTTTTCTAAATTTTAATCTTTTACATTCTTCTCTTTATCTCTGCACTACTATAAGGGTAATTACAATGATGATATTCTACATTTCATGAATGTTCTCCCCACCTGTGTGATCGACTATATAGCAGGTTCCCTGAGATTTTCTTCTCACTTCAATGACTGGATTTTTCATGTCTAAGAGTGCTTTTTAGCTCAACTATTCCTGGTCAATTATCATCTCTAATCATTGCACATTCCTTAATTCATTGTACTGTTTCTTTAAATATCATAAACACAGAGATTTAAAAAATCCTTTGCTAATTTCAAATTCTGAAGTCCTTGGATTGATTTTTGTTTCTTCCCATTTCACTCATGACTGCTTAAAAATTCATATTTTCATGGACTTAATCTGTGGACATTCTGTGAAGTCTGTGCTGAAATTGACTTTCTCCAGAGATAATTTGCATTTTCCACCTCAGGAATCCTAAGATACCAACACAGGACCACTGTAAGATATGCAACTTAGCTTCATAGATAAAGTAAACATAGGCTTTAAGCATACACGATGGCAGGCTGTGGTTTAATTCTCAGGGAAGTGTCGTTTTTCTCATCTAGAGATGAAGTGGAGACAGACTGGTTACTGTATTACCTTCCTTTGCTACACAGTAGGCCTTTTCTGCCTACCCTTTCCAACTCCCAAATATGCATGGACTCTTAAGATATTTCTCACATTCCACACAGATTGGTGAAATTTAGAGCTCCAACTGGTATTTTTATATATTGCTAAGGGGGATGAAAAATGGTTTAGACCATGATGTGAGATATACTTTAGCAACTTCTTATGAAGCTAAACATACTTAATATATGATTCAGCAATCCCACACCTGCATATTTACCTAAGTGAAATGAAAACCTTTGTTCACACAAAAAACCTTTAGGTATATGTTCCTATTAGCTTGATTTATAATTACCCAACATCAAAATACACTCAAATATCCATCAACTGAGGAATGGATAAAGAACCTGTGGTACATACATACAATAAGCAATAGAAAAGAATGAGCCACCTGTAAACATAAGAACATGGGTGGATCCCAACATACATACTTATGCAAATTTCCCTACACATAAATGGTTCCATTTATACAACATTCTGGACAAGGCAAAACTAAACAAGGAGACAGGATTTATTGGAGTTTAGAATGATTCTCTTAATAGTGGTTATGAGACTATATTAGATTTTCCAAATCTTGTAAAAATGTACATTCAAAAGGTAAATTATGCCTTTATTTTTTTTAAAGGAAAAAGAAAAAAACTTAAAACTCTAAATATCTAGTATTGGCATACATCCTTCTGGGTTTTGTTTCTCGCCTCCATATATTTGGTCCCTAAAGATTACTCTTCTTATAAATGCAATGATGAATTTTTAAAGATTTCTGTTGTATTTTATCTAGCATTTATAGGCATTTTGAATCAGAAGGATTTTTAGAACATCTAGTCTGCCGTATTGCCAGAGGCAACAATCTGTCATTCTTTTAAAGAACAAGACTATCTTAAAATTCCAGGGTGTTTTTAAGTTTTTCAGTTCATTTTAGCACAGCACCCTCATGTTTCATGAACAACAATAATGCAGTTATTGTATTACCTTCTTTATAACCAGGGAAATCAAAGCGCAAGGAAGACAAGCCTTGTATCCTATTATATATTTAAACTTCCATCCCAAACTGAATTAACATATATTCTGAGCACCCAACTTGAAGTTATTTTATTAAATTCCCCAGAATTAGGAGGTCAATTAGACACATTGTAAATATCATTTATGTTCTGAATTATCCATGCTGGCAGCACACTGAACTTTGTAACCCTTGGTCAAGTTACTTACCTCTCTGCCTAGTTACAAACTATCAGCTTTTAGAGTCATTGTGACAATGAAATAAGTTAACTGGTCAAGCACAGAAAAGCACATGGCACACAGTAAGTGATCTATAAGCATCAGTTATTATGCTATGCATTTTCCACTGGTGTAATTATACACACATCAGCAGCATTAAAACCGAGGTATGTGTGTGCATGTGCGTGTGTGTATAGAAAAGTTAGAGCTTACTTTGAACAAACCATGCTTTTGATTGCGCTGACCAAGCCATAAATTGCTTCCTGGGGGAAGGTTGTTCTCTGGAGGGTCTATCACACGCTCATAGATCCTGTAGAAACAAAGAAAACAGTTACTAATAGAGAGGCTCAAAGCATAACCCAAAGGAACATGTGAAGTTTGAAGTACCCATGCAATGGAAGCTAGTCTGAAGAGATGAAGCAAAGATATAATATGCTTTAAATGACAGGTAACACAAATACAGGGACTAAGTATTTGGACATACTGCCTAGTCCCCTTCTGTCTTTCTATCATCTTCTTTCTTTTGGCAGGGGAAGGAAGAAGAAGGTAATATTTTGAGTATACTGTAAACAATGAACTTCATACAAACTGTGAGGAAAGTTGTTTTACCCAACCATCACAGGTAAAGAAGCTGAGGTTCAGAGAATGTAAACAGGTCAACCAAATCAAGACAGCAGGGAACAGTAAAATTAGGATAACCCTCATCTGTCTGGCTTCTATGCCCTTGTATTTTCCTTTGTACCCTACCATTTCCTGGTTTTGGTTTTTTTAGCTACTACTCATATCTACAATACCCCAAGAAAAAACTTTAAACAAGTGGGCCAAATAATCACAAAGTCAGTCTACTAAATCCTGTAATTGAAGCCATCAGTCCATCAAAAAAAAGTCTACTCAGTACTTTTTATGCTCCAAGCTCCCTACTAGGTAACTAGATAATACAGCAATGAAACAGACACATGAGGTCCTACCTCCATAGAGCAAAAGTGAGAGAACACTCCATAGATGAAGAAAATCACCTGATACATAACAGGAAATTGAATGCCTCAATTGTTCAGCTCTACCAAATCCCAGCCCAGTCAATCAGTCACAAATGTTTAAATTTGTGCTTTCTTCAGAAATAGTCCCTACTACCAGTTGATCACAAGCCTCTACCTAATCCATGGCAAGCACCTAAAGCTTGGAGAATTCTCTGAGCTGGAAGGTGGGGCAGGGGGAATGGAACCATCTGTAAATGGGAATTCCTGCTTTCCTCCCTCTTCACTCCTCAGATGTGTCAAGAGGTCAGGATAACCACTCTGCCCTGCTGTGATGCTGCCCCTGCCAGAAGGATGTTTGCCTCCAGAGCTTCTCAGGAGGAGAATGGAGAAGAACTGAAGACTGCCCAGTTGTGTCAGGGAAAGTGAATGACCACAAGACTGTGGCAATTAGGGGCTGTCAGGGTGTAGCCTCATGTACATCTTAGCTGCTGAGCCCAGTATTCTACCATTACCTACTGGAAACCTGAAGTTTCCAAAGAATACATACAAGGTACTGTTAGGAATGAGAAACATATCAGGTCTTTCTCTAGTAATTATCTTTCCATTACAAATGGAGACTCAAAACATAATTAAAGAAAAATGTTTCCCTTTAAAAGTCAGGCTGTGTTTTCCTCACAGAAATCCAACCTTTTTTGTTTGTTAGAATGAACCATTTTCAATTAAACAATTTGTCAAAACTGCCTTAAGAGAAGAACCTGCTTCTTTTAAAGGGTTTTTTTTCCTCCTAACATTAGTGGAAAAAGTAGAAACAAGCCAAATTTACTACAAAAGAGAAATGCATAAGTTATAGTAGATCAGCTTGAAAGAATTTACTGAGGTCATTAAGAGTGATAAATATTCAGGTTATGAAAAATGAACAAGTATATATGAATAATTTTCAGTGGAGAACATAGAATGCAAAATTATTTATGCACTATGGAGCTAACGATGCAAAAATTATGTTCAATGTTGATAAATATGAGAAAGGCCAGAGAGAAATGGAAATCACTGTATTTAGGGAAAGAGGTGGAAGCATAGTTTTCTATAAGGCTGCTTTATTAATAAATTGAAAATGTCAAACCATTTGCCTTAGCCTTCATTTTAAAACATTTGCCTCTGTCAGAGAACTTTCAATTCAAAAAGCTTTCCTCCTGGTGTTCAATATGCTGGAAGATGAGCTCCAATGAGCAGAATAGGCCCTTAATCAATGTTTATTAAGTGCATGAGTGAGTGAAGGATGGAACAATCAGAAAGATCAACTTCCTATCCTACTTTATCTTCTACAAGCATAATAACTCCTTGTGCCTTACAAACAGTTGAGGAAGCAAACATCTGAGGCCCACCACCATCAGCTAACACAGAATGTCACAGTGGTGTTCTAATTTCCTACATCCAGCCCCCATGAGGAACTCTTCCTCATACCAAGGAAAATCGACTAGGTGCTGCCTTCCTGGCAGCCCTGCTGATTCCTTCCAAAATGCAATTCTCACTAGGGAATTTCATGCAGCAGGCAGAATCAACAAATTAAACACAGGCAAAGCAACATAAAGAGAATTTTAAAACACAGTATTTAAAAAAAAAAAAGCCCACAAGAAGGAAATCTGATGAGTTAAATAACTTGTCCATGGTTCAGCAGCATGAGTGACAGACATAGAACATGAACCCAGACCCCACAATTTGTACTATGACCACTTTCATATATTGCCTCTCTAGATGGTTCAGCAGCATGAGTGACAGACATAGAACATGAACCCAGACCCCACAATTTGTACTATGACCACTTTCATATATTGCCTCTCTAGACAAACAAGGAAGAATAAAATTGATGTCTAAAGAGTTAAAATACCAAAAATCAGAAGCAATAAATACTTGCAGTGTAAATAATAGAAAAGATGTTATAGTCTTCCTTGAATGACTCATACATTACTGAAAGGCTGGGTAGAGTTTTTGAAACCAATTCTGAGCAGGAGATGATAGAATTTGTATGTCCTGCTAGAGCTTCATGTCACACACAGGTAACATTTTTTTGCTTTTTCTAAAAGAGCAATGTAAACACTTAACTCATCCAAAGTGACTTACTTATCAGGAAGGAAAAGGGGAAACAAGTTTATCTGATAGTGCATGTGCCCAAGACTGGCTCACTCTCCTCAAACCCTCTGGGACCTGTACCAGATTTAGTCACTTCATAAAAAAAGAAAGGTTTCTGGGAAAATAAAAACATTACCAATAAGAAGGACTTCTTATTCATCTTCTTTCACATTGGCCTTAAATAACCTTTTTTTTATACATCCAAACTACCCTATATGTTAGTTCTTTGCTCATCTCTGAGACCTCTGCCACTTGCATGACTGTCCAGCCCCTGGGCCAAAGACACTATACCCTCCCATTATAACTGGAGTCTCTGAGATTCTGGTTATAGCTAGGCCTTCCTTCCAGACCGCCTGACCAAGGAAGGAGGAATTTGGCTCTCCTAGTATCGCTGGGCCAGGCACTTCCACCCTCCATTTGTGCCTCCACTTCCTGACTACTACTATTATCTGCTGGCTCGGGAAGAAATGCAAACCTCACCATGGCATCCTTCATCTGCCCAGTTGCCTCCCTTATTGACAGATGCTCCCTGATCATCATCTGTAAAGCAGCTCCTAACCATCATCTCTTATCACTTAGTCTTAGCAAAGCAGATGACTCTCCAAAATTAGTTCTTTGCTAACTGTCTATCTCCTTCCACAAAACAGTAGGCTCCTTGGAAGCATGGGGCCTTATCTGTCTTTTGCATCAACATTTTTAGTGTCTGGAAGAGTGTCTAGCTAAAGTAGGTGTCTACTCCACATTCAATAATGGATTTAGTAGATGAATCAATGAGTGATTGAATGAATGCTCCAAGACACTATCTTTAGAATAGGAGGACCATAGTCAGAGGGTTATAGAAGCCCTACTAGGGAAAAACTTTTCAATGAGCAACTCACAAAACTGAATAATTCAGACTGAGAAAGCAAGTAGTCAAAATTGACACATTAGATTATGCACATAATCCTTAGGGAAATAGTCAAGAAAAATGACTGAAATGCAAAAACTCTTTTCTAGAGTCTTCCTCCACCATCTTGTCTCATGAGATTTATACAAGAAACCAGAAAGAAAGAGCAAGATGAACCATTCTCACCCAGAAAGAGACAGCAAGTTTAAATCTGTCAGGAAGGCAACTAACAAGAAAGTCAGATATATTACAGAGGGAATAATTAGATCAAGTGCAATCCCTCCCCCCTTTTTTTGAGACAGGGTCTTTCCATGTAACAGAGGTTAGCTTCAAGTTTATATTCTCCTATCTCAGCCTCCCTCTTGAGTGCTGAGTGTTGGGATTACAAGACAAGAACAACTCTTTTGATAAGTAAATGATTTACAGCTTAAGTTGGTTACATTATAATCAGCCCAAATGTATCACATTCCCTTAGGCTGTCTTACAAAAATAACACATTTGCTTTACAACCATCTAATATCTACCCTTTCTTTTGGCTGAAGAAAACCTAATTCCCACTTAGTCATGTTTCTGAGGCTTTGAGTTTACTTGAGCCATTAAATAAGGTGCTGCCTATTAAGCAGTATTGGGAAAATTATGGGAATTTTGCATGCCATTGGTATTTACCAGTATTTTAAAGTATAAGTATCTCATTTCTAACACAATACCATGCAAAATTAAACACCCAGTCAGATATGAAACCTGCTTGAGAGAAATGAACAATGCAGAATAACTGACACACTCCCTGTGAAAATCAGTCACTGAATCAAGGGCTCACATTAAGACTCTTCTTCACAAAGTATAACCTCTATTTATGACTTTGGTTAGTAATACCCTTACTAGCCAACATCGTGTCTGATTAAAAAACTAATCAATATTCTATGAAGTACTTGATCTTCCTCAGATCTCAACACAAAGTAACACAATGGTTCAACAATATTACTTATGGAATATTGGATTTTTATTTACCTGTGCAAAGAAAGGTCTCTGAAGGGACTCTATAGTACCTTTCCTAATTATATAGAAGAATGAATTTCCAATGTAAATCAACATGTGTTGTGGCCCTATTCAATAAGACAACATGAAGCCCAAATGAGGCACTAAATGAAGAGGTTTATCTTGGGTTTTGCCTACAATTGAATAAAAGCTTTCATGAACTCATTCCCTGGAGAGGAAAGTTGTAATGACTTTCCTTCACTAGATAGAGTCTCATATTCACTGCCTTTTAGCTGGCACTAGGGAATATCAAGGTGCTCTCTGGTGAAAGTTCCTATACAGAAT